GGAGGAAGGGGGGGGGATAAAGTAACGCATAAAGTATTTATACGACCCCAAAGCCATTTTTAGCGACAAAGGGTTCCAATTTAAAAAACATCATTAAATATATACAAATATAAATTTAAATATAATTAAATCTTTCAGTATTGAAGAGATTGCTTGGCTAAGTGGATGATGTTATGGGCAGTGACAGCGGAGAATTGAGTTCGATTCCCAGTAAAGTCCTATTTTAATTTATCTGTTTAATGAGATGCATCAAATAAAAATAAACTATACTTTAGGCAGACGTTTTTTACAGGCACCTCTCTATAGTAAGTCCGTAAAAAGCGAGTCACGTGACTGACTGTACGGACTTTACTATAGAGAGGTGTTTGTAAAAAACGTCTATTAGCCATTGGACTGCTAAAACCTGTTTTTTGTTGACTCGAAAAATAGGCAACCTATTTTTTGCACATGTATGCAGACATGCCACTCCTTATATACTGACCCTGAGTATACTCAGGGCCAGTATATAAGGGGTGGCATGGGCGTCTGCAGGATTTTTATATAAGCAAATACGAACTAGACTTATCCAGAAAGTACCAACTTGTTGGAATTCTGACTTGAGGCAGTTAAAATCCATTATGGATCTAAAAGGGTGCTTGTCTATTATGGCAGAAACGTCAACTAAAATTGAAGGTTGGATGCTAATGTTGTAGAAGCTAATACCATTAAAGGTATTATTTAATATCTTAATCCAATCGATAAAATTTCACAAGTTTTAAGCTCTGACATCTTTGTGATATTGAAAATCTATAATCTTAAGAATAAATTAGCTAAAATTGGAAAAGTTCTCTTACATGTGTCACAAATAAAATTCATGCTCTAACAGCAGGAATCAAAGAACGTTTTCCTGATTGTGGTCATAAAGTACCTGAATATTCAATAGCACATTTTCTTGATCCAAAACAAAAAGGATTAACCATTTTTGCACTTAATGATCAAAAGATACTAAAACATCAAGGATACCGCTACTCAAGCTATGATTGATGCGCCAAAAAGATGTTGGCAAAAGTCCAACATGCATTGAAAACTTAAACTAATCATCTGAATAATTCATCCGAATCATCCAATAATTCGACCGATGAAGAAGCTTCACATGCTGCTGTAAAGAAGCTATATAGGCAAAATAAAAACATTGATAAAAATTTTCCGTTAACTTAGAACAAATGCAAGTAGCACGTTATGTTGATGAAGGAGTTGCAAACGACAACACAAATATTATTGAATATTGGAAAACCATTCCTACAAAATTTCCTTTTCACTTCAGAATAGCAAGAAAGGTCTTGTGCATCCCTGCTACCTCAGAACGAGTATTTTCAACTGCTGGAAATGTTATATCGGAAAGAAGAAATAGCCTTAGCATTGACAATATTGAAATGATGGTTTTCAACTTGAAGGAGATGGAAAATATCACCTGGCCGATGTTTGAAGCTGTTAACAATAAAAAATGAGAAAACATGAACAAAAAATATACTTTCTTATACATAATAATTTACTTTTTTTGATTGTTGTTTTTTCATTAAAATTTTGTTTCAATTATTATGAAATGTTGATAATATTACCATTTGGCGGCAACAAGTATATAGATCACAGGATAACAAAAATATTCAAAAAATAAATAAAAAACTTAATTAAACACCGACTTCGGCGATGTGGCATAACTTAATCTGAAAAGTGTTGTAGGTATATCTAAGCTAGTGACCAATATCCTAGCTAAATTAAACGTTTAATTTTTTAACGAATATATTCGCAACTGCTTATATGCTGAACAATTATTTTATTCGTACAACGAATTAGCAGGAAGGAATATATTTGTAAAGCATTTATATGTTGAAGAAATATTATTCGTTCAGTAATCGTTCAACGAATAAAATGAAAACGAACGAATATTTGAAACTGTTTAATGAATAATCTTTAAAAAACTTGTTTATCAAATAATCGTCGCGCTCGACTTTAAATTATGTTTGTGCTTTGCATACAAGTTGGAGTAGTAATTTCTTTTTGCATTTTTAATGGAGTTTTTTGAAAATGTTTTTATAATACATTAAACAGTTTCTATATATCAGTTTTTATATATATATTAAGTAATTATTTTTATGATTGACTGATTTATATTTAAGATAATTAACATACAGATTTTGTTTCACTTTCGACGATTTTTTAAGTCCCTTAGTTATCTAAGGTCCTTGGCGTTAGGGATTATTACATAAATAGGGTAGTTTGAGTCATAGATGAATTTAAATGTTTTAAAAAAAGATTCGTAGATCAGATTATATCATCATTTAAGTTAATATTGCTACAGTTTTGATTCGGTATATGTTCCTTAAACGATTTCAAATTATTCTTATTGTATACTTTTATTATATATATATATATATATATATATATATATATATATATATATATATATATATATATATATATATATATATATATATATATATATATATATATATATATATATATATATTGCAATCAAAGTTATATAAAATGATGCAATAAAACCATCTTTAAGCTAACTTTTTATAAGGAAATTTGTTAATCAGCAGTTACTTCTTGTTTATTGACTCAATTATACGCATACATAGCGCATGAGCACGCTTTATTGCTATTTTATGCTCTTGTCAAGTTTACTAATAGTCTATAGAACAGACAATATTTGTAATATCTTATTTAAATAAAAGTGTAATAGGTCGATCAAAAAAAAACAATCTTCTAAATTAATATATCAAAAGAAAAAATTGAAGTTTCATGGAAACAGATATACAAAAATCTCCAAAAATAATGAAACCACTGCTATACCTTCAGTTGAAAACATACCATGTTCATCATCCTCCAAGAAGTTGTTCAACAAAGAAGTTGTAAAGGAACTTCAACAGATAAATGAAGACTTTAGCTTTATTATGAGCTTTGATTTACTTAAAAAAGCAATAATGTTCCTTAAATGCCCAGAATGTAACAATTTAGTAAGTTTGCAGTTTGATTCTTCAAAAAAATATGCTCTAAGTATTGGACTAAAAACTTGTTGCAGTGATTGTGAATGGAAAAGATTTTTTTTTCATCTGCTAAAATGGATAAATAGATAGATTGTGTTGGACGTAAACGCTTTGACATAAACACTCGTACAGTAATTGCATTTTGTGAAATGAGTAAGGAATTTTCAGCAATAGAAACTTTTTGCAGAATTATGAACATGCAACTTCCAATCAATAAAAACTGCTATAATGACACATTGCACATAGTGTTGGATATCTATAAAAAGTTTGGTTGATGCAAATGCAGCAGAAGAATTACTATCAATCAATGAAACATCTAAAGATATTACTTGTGGGTTTGATGGATCGTGGCAGAAACGTGGATACACTTCAAACAACGGATTAGTAACTGCTGTTGCTGTAGAAAATGGTAAATTAGAATTAAATTAGAATTAAAATCAAAAAATTCTTTATAACACCACGTTTTCCTTAAACAAATTATGTTAAAAATGTTTTCTGTTTTGCATAATAATTTTAAAAAACTTTCAACATTTTTTGAGACTTTGATTAATGGATATCAAAATAAACAGTATGTATGGTAAGCCGCATGGTACTCTGCACAACAAGAGCTAGACATTAAAAATCCCCGGAGAGCAGATCAGAATAAAGTCGAATACCAAAAAAAAAAAAATACTACAAATTCTTAGCATCATGACAGATTGGAAAATACCTTTTGATAATTATGATAATTATGTCTGCTAGTGGAAGACTATTTGGACAGGATAAGTGACACGTGACAGGATAAGTGACACTGATTCGAAATTTGAAAACAATTTCCATGAACTCTGATTGGATGAAATCCTTTATTTTTTGCAATAATCTGACAACCAGAATTGCCTACAACGTAAAACAGGAAGAACTGTAATTTATAGACATTCAGTTTCTTTATATTTTGATACACATACCGTTACACTAAAAAACATTCATAATACTTATATATAACTATGATAAGACAAATGTGAATGATAACCCAGGCTCAATATAAATGTTGTACTGAAAAGTTTTTTTGCAAAAATGCATAAAAACCTAAAATAGTCAACTCGGTTTACACAATAAACAAAATTTAAAAATATGCAGTTTGAAAACATGCTTCAATAATGGTATACGCGAAAAAAAGAGACTGTTAAAAAAAAAAAAAAATTAGCTTTATTTGCTAATAAAAATGATCTTGAAATATAAATGATTGCATTTTAATATAATTTAACGCAGCTTTTGATTGTATCAAACCTTAAACGAAAATATATAAACATAATTTATATTAACGGTACCTACCGTACTGTACTTTACCTAAGTTTTTATTTTATTGCGGAAAGCGTTAGAATAATTGATAAGTATTAATTGATAATGATTTATTAGTTTTAATTATTTTTGTTTATATTTTAAAACAATTTTTCATGACAAGTTTGGATATAGCTATCCGATATAAACTTGTAATTATTAGAATTTAATTATTGAGAAAAAAAAACAAACCTAATGATAAATTAAAAAAGATGAAAAAAAAAATTGGTCAAAAGACAGGCAAAAAAAATAATATAATGAATACGTTGAAAAGAAAATCGAAAATTAGAATTTTTAAGGTCTATTTAAAAGATTGTTTCAATGCATGGTAGGCACCCCAAGTTAAAACAAACATTTTTTTAAATTGACGCAGTGAAGCAAAAACAAAAATATTAGTTATTTAGGTATACAAAAATTTATATTTATAAATAGAGCATAAACCCAAATATCGTTTTTAAAATAGTATAAAATCTTTATATAAAAACTATATATATTTATATATACATGTATGTATGTATGTGAGATTAAAAAGTCATTTTAAAGACAGCGGTTAGTTTCATTTAAATACTTCTATCAGGCGTACCACTGCGAAATAATTCAGTACTTTGTTTGATCCGAACATCTGCGTGTACTAACACGTACAAACAGATATTACTTTAAATAAATATGCCTCTATAAAAGTATAAATACACAATAAATAAACAAAATACGATTCTTCTCAGTCACGTAGAGGATAACTCGTAAAAAAGAAGATATGCTGACGCTGATATTAGGCGAGAAACAGATGTTTCACCCACTCTAAAAATCAAATTTATAAAACAATTGAAATTAGAAAAATTACAGGTTTTAAGTTCAACAAATCTTTATAACGCACAAACAAAAAAAATCAATTAAACATCTACATTGAATCGTTATATATGTGCCAGCTCCCGGTGTCCGGGTGTTTCACAAAAGAAGTATAATGCCCGCCAAGTGTTCCTCCGGAATGATTGACAACACCGTAAAGATTATACACAGGCTCTATACGTTGATCTAAAAAAAAATTTATACCATCTTAATGTTTACATTTAAAATTTAAAGTTTTGTTTTGCATGTATATATGTGTATATATTTACAAATGTATTTGTGTATGTGTCTATTAAAAAATTTCAATAAAATCAAAAACTCGTGAAATATTTTTTAAATTTTATAGAAATTACTATTGCAACATTATTTCTTTTCAAACCTCATTTAATTATCATACTGACTGTAATCCATCACTTTGAATCGAGTATGTATAAACCAGACAAACACCCAATTGAGAACAAAACGTTAATAAAAATAAATCGCCATTTTTATTTTCAAATAAATATCAAATAGATTTTTCAATATAAATTTAACTTTTCAATATAGTTAGCAATGAGATCAAATGTCTTGTTTTGTTCACTTAGAAATTGCTTAGCTTCAATAAGTCTTTGAATTTTAAATAAACAAGGGGCAACAGATATAATAATGGTGTTTCTCTATGGAACAGCTAATGCAGCCAAATCTAGAATCATAAACCAGCGTGAATAGAAGCTGTAATGATTACACAATCAATTTCCTTTCGAACAATCGTTTGCAATACTTGTTTTTGATAATCATTAACAATTGCATCACTTTAGACAATCAGTTGTAAATATATTATTAGAAAACCAATAATGATTGCAAAACAACAATTGTTTCGGAAACTATTCCCTTGGAGATTATTTCAGTACAAAAAAATTCTCACATGAATGGAATAAAAGCCGTAGCGTTAAGGTGGTATCCAGCCATTAATTTATTTTTTTATATTTTACACATAATAACTACCTTTGATAACGTAATGCAATTTTTTTTTTTTAATTAATAAAAAATTATTGCTGACTCAGCAAAAAAAGGTGAAAATGTTAACGTCACAAGAATATAAATATCTTAAGAATACACCAATATTAAAGGTTTAACTTTTGCAAAAAGCTAGTACACTAGTGTAGCTAGTACCTGAACCAAAAATTTTTGAAAAAATTTAAACGATCAAAAATGGCAGACTTAATGATATAAAAAACTATTTTTAGCAATAAAACACTAATTAGATATGGCAATTGTAGGTTAAGCTTAATTTTTTTAAGTGTTTTTTCAGGTTCAGGCACTAAAAATATCAATAATGAACATATCCTGAAAATTTGAAGCTAAAATAATGTTTTTTTATTGAGATATCATTGTTTTTTGCTACAGCTTCCCGTACAAAAAACAAAAATTGAGAAAAATCATTTTAAAAATTATAAATCATGTATACTACTCAGATAAATCATTAAAAACCACCAGCACAATAATCTTTTGCAGTTTCTTTATCTAACTTTTGTCCAAAATAGTTTTTTCTAACAGATCTTAATTTTTTTCTCTTTTTTTTTGATGCATCTGACGTTTTTTTGTTCATATTTTTTAGCCGTATAGAGTTTTTTTTACTTGCACCAATTTCAAAGTAACTACTAGATTTAATATTAAGAGCATCAAATACAGAAGATAACGTAGCCACGGCTGTTTCACTCAATATAAAAACGAGCGTGACGTCATGAGTTTATCAAAAAAAAAAGTATTTCCGCATAAAAAGTATAAAAATTCACAAACTTTAAATTAATAGTAACTTTTTTATATAAATGCTTTCATCTTGCAATTAAAAAAATATAAAAGATCTATCTTTCCTTGTTAAATAAATATTTACATTAATTGGTATAAAAATAAATATTATTAAAATATTTTAATAATTTAGAACCACTTTTCTAATTTTTGCATATTTTCCGGAAAACATGAGTTGGGCCAACTAAGATTTCCTAACATAGCTCTGTACTTGATAGCTGAAATTTGGAACACTTAACCCTAAATGTCCATTCTATCAGATTCCTGCGTCATCCTAGAGATTTTTTTACAAAAAGACTGTTTTTAAAGCATTTATATTTTTTAATTGATCGTTTTTAAATGCAAAACGTAATTTTTTTGATGGATGACGTAAGTTAATGAAATTTCAACCTTTTATGCAAATGAAAATAAAAAAATTATTTTACGTACCTTTAGCTATGTTATGAAATATGTTTTCAAAAATGTCATGTTTTACAACTAATCTTGTTAGTTTTAGGCGTACATTTGTGTTGACGTTTTTTTGCGATGACGTAACCTTTATGCGTTACTATTTATTAACAAATATTCTCCAAACAACTGTTCGGCGAGTCAATTTTTGAAGTATAAAGTAAACAAAGTTACGCAGAATTTTTCTCTTTGGATTATCAAACTAATATCAGATAAGTTGTTAAATCCACTTTTATCTATATTTGTTAATTAATATTATTTTATTTGTTTTTATTATATTGATTAATAAGTCAATATTATTTTGATAACTATGTATTCAACTGAGAGGGAAATTCTAAAACAACATATTGGATGGAAAAATGGTTGGGAAGATAGGTGTAACTTTCCTTTTGTTAAGCAATTAATTAGGACAGATAAGATCAGTAACAATGTCATTTCCATTTTAATGACAGTCTTTAAAATAAGAAGTGATTTGTTTAGTTTTATGAGTTTTCTTTTGCCAATTGATTTTGATATGCCTAGTAATGACGAGTTTGATAAAATGTGCCTAAAGTTAACACGCCAAAAAAAGAAATATAAAAAAATTTTTAAAGCTATAAAAAACGAAGAATTTTTTAAAATGCAACAGTCACAAGCTCCACCCAAAAAAAAAAAACATCAGCAGATGCAGATTACTTTTTCACTTTAAATAACAGTCAGGAGCTACTGAATCAAATTGATCAATTAACTTCTGAAAATAAAACAAATATGGAGCAAATAGAAAAATTTTAAATGCAAGTATTTAAGTTGGAAGCTGAAATTACAGATTTAAATTCTAAAAATAGGGCTCTCAACACACATTGTAACTCATTAAGTTCTCAATTAGAGACTATGAGTATTAGATTAAAACAGGAGGAGCAGTTCCAACTTAAAAAAAAAAAAAATTAAAACAGCTCAGCGTAAATTTGCATCTGCTCGTGCCAAAAATGTAAGATTGCTAAAAAAAATTAATATTGAAAAAAAAATTGCAAAAATTAGTGATTAAAGCCAGAACAGTTGCCAAATTTGCAAATGTTTTGCTAGTAGCGATAAGGATTTAGTTGTGGTTGATTCTTATTTAGACTACGACAACATTGGTTCCTCTGAATTATTTTGTGGGTTTAAATTAAGTAATCCACAGAATTTATCAGTTAAAAAACCAATAGTTAGTAAAATATATACTTACGTTAAGTTAAGAAATAGTAAACCTTATTCTAAGTTAGGTAGGCATGCTGCAGCTAGACGATCTAAACTTGCTTTTATATTCCTTCGATTATTAACTTGTTCAGATTTAGAAAGTGATTTGTCTATGTTGTTTTGTGATTCTATGTCTTGTGAAAAGTCAATATTTTGTTGTGTTGCAAATAAGTTGGGTTTAGTTAAGCAGTTAAGTGTTTCTGATGCTGTAGAGCTACATAGCCAATTAAGGATGCCCACGGCTGAATTCCTTAGACTAAGACGTATTCTGTGTAATTTTGGTGCAAGGATTCTCCCATCTGAGCCCAAGATAAGACAAGAACAAGAAATGCAGACAATGCATGTCAATAAAGATCATGTCACTGTGAAGTCCATGTTAATTTATCCATCTGCGAATGAAGCACCTTGTTTATTATCTGTACTGATGGTCAAGAATTTGACAACTTATATTGAAGAGGTTTTTAATAATCTTTATGTACGCGACCACCTTAATTCAGATGTCGGTTTTGGCGAAGAAGTTTGGCTCCTTTTTGCTAGTGATAAGGGTGGGAAGTATATAAAATTCTATTTTGAAGTTGTGAATTCTAAATCATCAGGGTCTGTATACGATGTTCACTTGTTTTGTATGTATCAGGGTTCAGACTGTCATGAGAATAGTTCTCAGGCATTTTGCCAACAACATTAAAAGAATTCAGTCGTCAGATTTTAAGCTAAAAGGCAAAATAGTCAGGTTGTTCTTAGGTATAGATTTTCATTTTATCGATGATGTTCTGGGACACCAGGGTTCAGCTGTATAAAACTGTATAAGTTATTGTTGAAGGAGTGTAAGACTTTAGATTGTCAAGCTGTTTCGTCTTTGTCGCATAATGAGAATGTGAGAACGAATGAATTGTGGACTGTTAAAAGCGTTGAATGTTCTAAAACAGCAGAAGCTTTACATTTATTAAGAAATCTACAGACGCGTTGGTTAGCTTTTAATAAAAATATTTCTAAATTTTCTCTAAACTCCTCCAATCCCTCCAAAAAAATTTCTTTTTTTATACGCGCACAACAGAAACTTTTAGACGCTGAGTATATTCGATTGCAGATGGAGTGTGAAGACCTAGAAAAAGAATATAAAAATAGCATAGGGCCACATGAGAGGTCTCTTTATAAGGCACTTAAAGATATGAAGGTTGAGCGACAAGCTTACCATGGTAATGTATTTGTAGGTAATCATTGCAAAATAGTATTAAGAAACCACTATAAACTTTGTAGTGTTATTGATGATGAAGCAGTTAAAAATAGATTTGTACGTGTGTTAAATGTTTTTAATAAGTTGCAACCTATTCTTTTTTGGCCAAAATTTCTTTCCGATGCCGAAATTACTGAGCTTCATCAATATATAAATTTATTTGCTATTGAGTTTCATGCTTGCTTTCCAAGTGAAAGTATCGCACGAAAAATGCATGAACTTATTTTTAATGTGCCACTATTTGTAAAATTCCATGAAACTATTGGGTTGCTAAGTGAAGAGGAGGGAGAGTGTTTGCATAATAGCGTAAATAAGGAATTAAGACAGTTGCATTCAGTAAGAAATCAGGAGCAGAAGCTGCATCTTGTTTTTAAAACGCTTTGAATTGCACAGCAAAGCTGATAGGAAGCTTCAAGCCTCTAAGGTGAGAAAGTGTGTTGTGTGTTCTGAGCGTGGCAAAAATTCATTTTATAGACAAGGTCTTTGTCTTGTTTGTGGTCATCAAATTGAGTTAAAATATTTAAAAAATTAAAAATAACAACAACAAAAAAAAACTATTTACAAGTAAGATAAATTATATGAGATCTTTAATTTATATATAAGATAATTTTATTCTGTTCTAATATCTGTGTAATGTTAGTTTAAAATATTATTTTTTATTATATTGATTTTATATATTAGGTAGGTGCCCATTCTGTTCCTATCTTCAGAAGTTATTTATACCTATGCAATACCTTCGCTCAGGTTAAAGAATGGAATACTAGTCTTGCATCAAATGTATGTAAAAATCTAGCTTTTATATATTAACTTGTGATCAGAGCAACTGGTATGTTGGTTGGGTATCATCTTGTATGTTTGTGTATTTAATTTAAAAAATATATTGTCCTTCATTATATGTAACATTTGTTTATAGATATTTTACATATCCATTCGATGTTTATCACCAGAAGTTAGTTCTACCTTTGCAGTACCTCTGCTCTACATACCTCCTCGCTGGTTAAAGAATGGAATATAAATCTCATATCAAGTTGGTGTAAAAATTTAGTTCAATAAATTAAGAATTTGTAAACGTTATTAAAATTTTGAGTGGAGCAATTGTTTTTCTGGTTTAGCATGAGTATGAATCTGATATCAATTGGATGTACAAAGATAGTTTACTACTTAAAGAACCTATCAGTAAACCAACTGATTATTAAACAGTTTTTAATGGGAATAAAAACAAATTTTTAAAAGATTTCAATTAGCTATTTGTATATTCAAACACTTTATTTACTGAGAGAAGAGGCTATAGATTCAAGTGCTATAAAATAATTATACTACCAAAAGCGAGGCTAATTCAAAAACTTAAACTCAAATTTGGTCATGAATTATTTTATTAGACTTAGTGAGTCTTTATTTATTAACAACTTAACACCATATTATAAGAACTGTATGCACAGAAAAAAAAAAATGCTTAAGCTTTAAATGTTTTGACTAAATATTCCAAAATCAAAATCTGGCTTTATTTTGCAATGCAATGAATTTATTGGGTTAGGAAAATAAGTTTCTAAAACAAGAACTCCTAGGTTTAAAAATGTACTCTTTTAACAGCTAATCCCCCTTTTAACTACATTTTTCATAACTTTGCGAAAAGTGCGGTTTGCTTTCAGACCTCAATAAAGTCTGTTTTAGCTATCCTTAAACAATTAAGTAAGGTTTTTTTGTTTTTATAATAGTCTAACAATGGGTATATTTGAGAATAACTATCAGAAATAAATTTTTCTGATTTTTTTCTGATAAAAAGTAACATCAAATTTCTTGAATTCAGCCAACTTCATCATTTGTCGCGTTTTTTTTAAACTTAAAGAAGTTTTTTTACTAATGCATTAAACATCGTAAGATGAAACATTTTATTAGTGTTTTTATTCTTTTTACAAAACAAAATTATCTTTAATATTTTAAAAGTTATAAAAGTTTTAGTAACACCTCTTAAGTCAATATTTTCAAAAAATAACAAGAAGCCATTAAGCTCCGTTTGAAACAGCCGTGTAGCAAAACCATCATTATAAGTAATGGTTGCAGAGTAAACAGCCATTTCAACAACAACTTTAGAGGTGAATATAGTTTTAGGGGATCGGTTCCAAATTAGTTGATTAAATGCTTCATTTCCATTTTGAGTCATGCCATGCAAACATTTTGCAAGCATATCAGTATTTGCTAGATCTTGAAATACTGGCTTGATCTTTTCCATAATGACAACGAGTAAATTCACCTTTTTCTTGTATGTAACATGACCAGTTGCTCTATCAGACTGCCATTTACACCAGCTTTTTTCACCCTTGGTGCAAAACATATGACGATATTCTTCAGAGGTAAAATTAGTGCAATGATGAAGTGAAGCTATTACAGAGTTCCTCATTTCCAAAAGACTATTTGAATTTTGTCGAATAGCCATTCCAACATAATTTTGCAAGATGTTAATTACTATATACCTTTTCCGTCAGATAGTTTTACCCATCGTAATTCTTTTCTTTTAAAACGCAGTTGATTCCCTGTACGCTTCTGGTAATGCCCAAGACATTTTAGTTTTATTAGAACAAGGTCATCACCATAAGGTTTTTGTGCAATAACTGTGCTAAACGAGATTGTGTCTCCATCTCCGAGATATTAAGAATAGTGAATGCTATATTTATTTACTGAAGAGCAAAATATTTCTGTTGCACCAGCTGATTTAGTGTGGCTTACTTGGTAGGAATGATTAACTTTCCACTGCTCATATTTGAGTGTTCCTTTTTTTCCTTCCCAAATTTGACATCCTTTACAAAACTTAGATAATGTAACAGTATCCAATACTTTGTTGTTGTCGTAAGAAGTTGCTACCACAACACTGTTCCAAGAAGAATATCTTCTCTGCTGCCAGGTACCATCAATAGAAACACCACAATCAATAACATCATTCATATTAGAGTCAGGTTTCAGTATTCTCCTAACTTCCATAGCAGCATTTTTCATACTTTGCTTGGCAACTGATTTATAAGCATCGTAAAGTTTGCTATTAATACAGTCAAAACTAAGTTTTGATAAAGGTGGCATGTTCATTATGGAGGTAAAAGTTAACATTGCATCTCTGCCTCTGCCTATCTCCCTGAATGCCATAACACTGCGTACATTAATTTCACTAGTATTTATACCAGGTTTATTGTTTTTGACAACAGGAGAAGAAAAAAATGTATCTTTAAAAGCACAACCACTGCAATAAATTTGAAAAAACAAAGAAAAACCCAAGTGTCTTGAATGATCATGCAACATGGAAAGCTTTGTACCACATATATTACAAGTAGCATACTTTTCAAAACAACTTTTCATTTGTCAAATAATATTTTTTCAAGGTTATTTTTTAGCTTTTTACTACTTGTAGAACTTCCTGTGTTTGTATCAAATTGCTTATTGGTGTTATTGGAATTATTATGCTAATTGCCGTTAAACTTTCTTTTCCTTGGTCTTATTATTCTTTTTTTTTTGGCCATAATATACTTTTCAACAACTTTTTAACTGTAATAGGTAAGATACAAAAATTAAAAGTGTAAAGCACTATTTCATCTGAATTCAAAAAGGCAACAACACAATGTTAAACCGTTAAAAATAGCAATGTAACTTAGATTTATGACATTTAGACCAATATAAATATAAAACATTAAAAAAAGAATAGTTACAAGCTTGGCATGTCTAGTTTTCAGAGACTAACTTATAGGAAAAAACGGTTGCTATGGCTGTTGCTATGTGATTTAAAAATACCTTGATGTGTTTGAGAAGAATATTCTTGATATTCTGACATTATTTTTGAAAAAATATTTTTTCTATTGAATTTGAATTTTTTTTTTTCTTTCACCAAAACAATGGCTGGATACCACCTTAAGTATAATATAGTTGAATAGTTACAGTGAATCAAGTTGATTCACTTTTTTAATGAGTTTTTTAGATTTTAATTGATTTAACAATGGAGTCTGATAACAACACCCATATGAAAAAAAAAAAAAAAAGAAGGAAAATAGGAGTAGTAAATAAGTCTATCTACAAATGTGAAATAATAAAAAAAGCTTGTGTCAATGGAAGCCCCTATACAAACTATGCTGATAAGAATATATCTGAAGAAAAACCTGGCCAAGATTGCAAATAAGTTAATATTTGTTTTTATTTTTAATGTTACTTATTTAACAGACGCGTAATATTTTTAACGCCCTTATGGCTGAGCCTTTAGCTATAATATGTAAAAATTAAATCATACATACCTTAAAATATAATTCCTAAAATTTCTTGCAATAAAAACTTGTTAAGGTCTACTAAAATAACCTACCTAGTATAACCTAAATAAGCTAAATTTTGTAAGACATAACTTAATCTAGAGTAACTGCTATTTTAACTATTCCTAACTGAAGCAATTTAAGCCTTTTACCTTGTCTTTGAATTTCTTAGAGTATGCCTTACTCTTTTCACTTATTTTCTTTTGCTTATTTTAGGTGCAGAAGAAAGTGTTTTGAAGTCATTGGAGAAGTTAAATGACAAGTTGCTTTATTTGACATATGGTGTTTCTGAAATGACACATTCATTTATAGTGTTTTTAGATGTATCTTGTTGAATATACAGTGACATTCATTTTAATATTTATTTGCTCAGAAGCATGCCATTTGCTATTTATACAACTTATTTAGTGTTCGATATTGCTTGCAAAATTTTAATTTTTGTTTCCCAATATATATTTCAGCCAGAGGAACGCGTATGCTTGTACACCTTAGGGTGGTAATTTTGGTATTAATTTAGATTTTTTGTTGTTGCAGAGAACTGCTTTGAAATCAGATGGTGTTGTAAAAATAACTTTGACATGTTAATATAATCTATTTTGTAACAGTTATTATATTACAAAAAAGAGAAAATTGCGTAGCTATTTTTATGCTATAGACTTTACACCATATAGAAATTTACGTACAAAAAATGTTGCTCAAACAAAATATAAGAAACATTTTAAAAAAATCAAAAATGAAGTGAAGGCATACAAAAAAGTTATAAATTAGAATACTGGGGAGGCAAGACTTGGAAATTTAACACGACATGGTAGTATACACTGAAAAGATCCAGATGACTGGGAACTAGCATGTAGAAACAAGGCAGTTTCTATAGAAAATTTGAAAATCGTGTCACAATTTTATTACCTGAGCTATCAGATGAAAATTCTTTCAATGAAATAACTTTTGGAAATTCTACTTTGGTTTCCAGTTTACTTCGAAAGCGTTGCCCAGAAAATCTTTTTAAATCTAATGTGTTTCAAATTAAGGAAAAAAGCAAATGTTGAAAATATGGAAATCTATAAATAAAAGAAGCTAAAACAACGACAAAATTATAATTACTTATATTTACTACAAATATTTATTTACCATAAATTAATATATTTACTATATGCATTATTCTAAACCAAATTTTTAATCACTTTAATAAAATTATATTTCATTGAAAATCATTTTTTATATAGTTAATATATATTTCCATAAGTCTTTTAATGCAAACTTTTAAAGGTATAAATAAAAGTAATGTATAAATATAAACTATATTTAAATAGTATAATTAGAATACTATATTTAAATATAAAAAATATAATATTAACATTTAAAGTAAAAGATTATTTAAAAATATAACAAAAAATAACTGTAAATAAATATCCCTTAAAAAACACACACACACAAAAAAGAAATTAGTTAAAATATATAAACTGAAGACTCCATTAAAATAATAATCTCAAAATCGAAAAAGATACGTAAAACAAGAACTTTAGGAAATCTTTCTATTAAAAAACCTTTAAAACATTTTCTTGACTTTTTACACTTTTCGCAAATCTAAAATAACAATGTTAATTAAGATTTGTAATGAAATAACATATATTGACACAGACAATAAAAAAGCTTTTTTTTATTTGCAATCAATTGTTATAAATGCTTTGCTAACTTTGGCAACCTTTTGTGATAATTTAAGTAAGAACTGTTTTTTGTTGTTTTTGATGTTTATTTGTTGAGGTTTTTATAATTTGAACAAAAAAAAGCAGCTTGTATACATATATATATATATATATATATATATATATATATATATATATATATATATATATATATATATATATATATATATATATATATATATATATATATATATATATATATATATATATATATATATATATATATATATATATATATATATATATATTAGGATTGGTTAAAAAATTTTTTTTCTTGTTACAGGCTCTAAACATTGCTAATAGTTATTAATATTGATACTATCAAATATGAGAATGATTGTGATAGATTTAAAGGGCGCAACTTTATTGGGAAAATTACTAGTACTTTAATATTTTGGAGAAAAAAAGTTTTTCAAAAGTAGGTCAACCTGGTACTCAAAAGAAGCGAAATTTTATAAAAAATTTGAAAATAATAATCCTTTTATAAAAATCATATTGTCGAAAAAAATTGCTATTAAAAAACATGTAAAAATGCATCTTTTTCACTTTTAGTTAAAAACTATAGTTATTATGCAATAAATTCTAAAATAATAATTTTTATATGAAAATTATTATTTTTATAAAATTTCGCTTTATTTGAGTTTCTACATCACATAATTTTGAAAAACTTTTTTTTTGAATAATAATAGGGCCTGCTAATTTTTGTAATTAGTTGCGAGGGGAAGACATTGTTCAATCCATAAAAGTAAATACTTTCCTAAATTAGTACATAAAAAAACAACTTTCTAGCAATGTTTATATATATATATATATATATATATATATATATATATATATATTATATATATATATATATATATATATATATATATTTTCTGTCCGTTGACATTTTGGTTTTCTAGGGTAAACTTGAAAACAATAATGTAAAGAGAAAAAGTTGCAAAAAAATAATAATAATAATAAACTTTAGTCGATTGAGGAGAGATGGTTGCAAAAAAAAAAAAAAAAAAATTATTTTGTAAAAAAATGATTTTGTATATTTGTCAACAAAAAAAAAAAAAATTATAAAAAAACTTAACTCAAGTTATCGTAATTATAGTAAAAATGAAGTTAAAAAAAAATCAAATTAGCTACCATTTTTTACTTGATTGTAAAACTTTTGATTAGGTTTGTGTACAATTTTTTTAACTTTTATTGTTTCGGCTTTTCCCTTACCAAGTTGCACAATTGATATTTAAATTTTTAGAGGGCTTTTTCATAACTTTTGATTTTATTAACAAAATTTAATTAGAATTAATAAATTAATTTAGTTAGATAATCGTGTTACTAGTTGTTAATTAGCCTTTTTTAGTTCATTACTCTAGTAATCTAACTAAAGTAACTAAAGTCTCAGAACTACAATTATAGGTTTGCTGTGAGACCTTTAGTCCTACATTTTATGTTAAGAAACTTTTTAGCATTATTCAGTTGGTAATGCATGTCAAAATCTTATTACTAAAATCAAATTGTATGAGTTAAATCATCATGGATTAAATGGATTTTAATTTCTCAATTTGAATTTTTAGTTTTGAAACACAGACACAGTGAAAACAGGTTTGATTTTCAACAAATGTCTTAAACCATTTAAACCAAAGAAAAAATTTGGATTAGAACTATCTAAAAGTTGAATAGAACTATCTAAAAGTTCAATCATTTTTAAGAATGAAAAAATTTGACAAGATTATCATTTATCAACGAATGAACCCTGCACAACAGATAAAATACTTTTTGCAAGCGCGGTCACCACCAATACACAGAACTAAAGACCTTTATCAAGGACATTATGATGAGTGTAATCACGCTCATTAACAATATATTTAAAACATATTATAACAAATTTTAATACATAAAAATATAAATATTTTATTTTACTGGTTTCTCTTCTCCATCAAGGGTCTCCTCTTGCGTGTAAGCTTGAAAACATTTTGTCAAACTGATAGTTGATGTAACAGGATTCTATTCAAAAAGTAATAAACTTTTAGTTTTAAATAAAATTTTAGTTAAAACCAATAAAAAAAGGAGCAATAAAAAAGCAAAACAATACTGTCTTATAATATTACATTATATCAATTCAGCTTGTTAAATAAGAACAAATATACAAAAGAAATAATGATATCTAATATTGGTATTCCTTGGGAGTGATAGTAATACTTTAATATTATTGCCTCTATTGCATCATTTATATATAGATATATAAATGGTGTAAGCTGCAACCTTTCTTTAAAAGTGGATTTGAAAATTTTTAACCTTATTAAAATAAACCTACCTATTTGAATAACAGATACAACAAATAACTTTTCATGTCAGTATTTTGTTTTATTGTATCATTACAATATTTTAAACAAAATAAAAAATAATGTCAAAAATGGAAAAAAAATGTGTCTCTTTGGATATCTTTTTAAATGTATACATTCATTATAAATTTAAAAAATTTATAATGAATTATTGATAAATTATAAAATTTAAAATTTAATGACATCACAACTAGCCATTGATATGATTATCAATGAGTAAAGGATACCTCGAAATACCTTAAAATACCTTTAAGGATACCATTCACAGCTAGTTGGATAAAAGATAGCAGCTTACACCTAATAATATTTAGCCAAGATATTTATACAAAATTAAAATTTAAAAAGTTGAGATATTCAAATAAATACCAAATGTTATAACTCACTGGAATCGGTAATGACAAATCCCAAAATGGGTCATAAGTAACTGAACGATATTGGCAAACAGAACATGTTAAAATACTCTTGAGTTGACCAACAAAAATATCTTAACAAAAAAAAATTATTAAATTTTTATATAAACTTGTATGTTTTAATTTTCAATTTTTTTACAAAGCTAAAGACTCTACTGTGAAAACAATTTGTTGAGATAAAACACAATTCAAACATCTTTAAAATTCCATCAACTTAATACATATGATAAACACCCTGATAAACAGTTTATTGATATACTGTTTATCAGAGTGAATGGAAAAAATGCTATGCTAACAACAACCAATCTTCTAAACATAAAAAAAAGACATGGTGTCAAAACTTATTTGAAATCCAGAAGAAAAAAAGGATAATTTTAAATTAAAACTGACTCTTCTAAAAACTGCTCTTGTCTACAACACTGTTTCCAAAAAATGTATGCTATGTTTGAAATAAAATTCTGAAATTATTTAGATCTAATAAATATAAAATCAGAATTACTTTCTGAATACAAACATTTAGAAATTATAAAAAAGAATAGCTAAAACTTGTTTTTCAGAAATCTTTTCATACTTTTAAACAAACACTGATTTAACTGTTTAACTTTAAGTTTTAAAACTATATATTTTTTTATTATTATTTAAAACCATTTGAGACTTTGTCGCAATATTTATTCCCATCCAGGTAAATTAAACTGTATTAAAACATACTGGGCAGCCTATAAAATAAATTTTAATGATTGATATTAAAACTGTTTATAAGTCATTACCAACAGACCTTTAACGATGAACAATTTTGTAGATAGGAGTCACAAAGAGACAATAATAGCAATAAACTTTCATAAATGTATTTGTTAAAATTGGTTAAATTTTTTTAGCATATAAACATGACTTTAGAATCTAAACAGTTACTGGCATATTTTGGGTCACACTTTCCTAGCAATATTTTCAATATTTTTTTTGAGCACACATAATAAAAATATATAAAAAAACACTAATGTGTACAATAACTCAAAAAATTAAAATATTTATTAAACAAGTTTGAAAATACAGCACTGTTTAAAATGAATTAAATTGTTTGCAATTTGTTTAACTTTTTCAAAATTTTTATGGGTCAGAGTCACCACAATTAAAAACAAGCCATAAAAAAAACTAGGAAAGTTTAAGTTTTATTTCCAAAGTAATTTTTATGATTAAATGTTTTAATAAATGGTAAAAACTACAAAAAACTATTATTGAAGAACAGAAATGTTTAGTAAATAACTAACTATTCTGCAAAAATATAATAGTTAAAACAAACAATATATATCAAAATCTGACCTTGCATTGGACTACTTTCCTTAGTTAGATATCTTTCCCAATAAACATTAGATTTTTCTCCATCACTAAAGTTGCACATTTAAAAAATTTATTTTAAATTAGAAACATTATACATATTTAAAACAAGAAATGAAGTACCTTAAATGTTTGTCATCCAGGATAAGAGGTGTTTTTTTTTTAACAGTATTTAAATCATCATGTATGCCCTCTAACAAGTAGCGCAAAAATTCTTGAGCATCTTGTTGACTAAAATGGTTAATAAAGCATTCGAGTATTGACTTTTTGGTAAATTTTTTGTATTTCTAGTTTTCAATACAAAAAACAGATGAACTTTGGTTTGAAAGTAACTGAAAAGTCATTGGTTTTATTTAATTTATGAAAAAGGTCACCCACAATGAGCCTTGATTACACACTGGCTCCCATATATTAGTGAACTTTCTCTTCAAAAGTATATCAACCTGGGTCACAAAAGAACCAGAATTTTATAGTGATGTCAAAAGTCATAATTTTTTCTACTAAAACATTTTATTAAAAAAATATTGTACAAAAAATATCATAATAGACGACCTTTTTAATTTTTAGTTACAAAATGTTGTTTTTTGCATATAAAATTTAAGCAATTCATTTTCATTTGAAACCATTTTTATTTCTGAAATCTCAATGAAATTCTGGTTCTTTTGAGACCCACTTTGATATACTTTTGAAGAAAAAAAAATTCACTGATATATGGGAACCAGTGATCAAGGGTCATGGTGAGTGACCTTTTTTTAAAAATTAAATAAAACCAATGACTTTTCAGTTATTTTCAAACCATAGTAAATCTGTTTTTTATATTGGAAACTGGATACCAAAAAGTCAAAACCCTAATAAAACATTATCAACTAATAAATATCGAAAAATAAATCAATAAAAAAAAGGATTTTTACTGAAACAAGAGTGTCACAATAAAAGTAGCCTAAACACTATATGATATATAATATATACACTAAACACTTGATATGTAATATATACAATAAGCACTTTATATATAATTTAACAAACAATGCTAAGAGAAAGTAAGCAAATTTTAATTTTTCAATACAATTAAGGAAAAATAAAATTTGTTCTGCCTAAATATTTAAATCTACCAACTTTATCAGGAGAAAGATTAAATTCAAATAAAATACAAAACAATAATACAATTTTTTTTATGAGAAAACTTACAACTAAGTAAATCTGTACTGAATGGATGGTGGCATATTTTGGATATATTTGGGTGGCATATTTGGGTCATATTTCTGAAAACTAACTGACTAAAAAACTATTTTTTAGTAAAAGGTGAAAAATCAGAGGAATATTCTAATTAATAAATTTTTTTAAAGCAAAATTTGAATATAGCAAAAACACATTTGGAATATTTTCCCACTGGTCATTTACTTTGCTATTTATTTATTCTTCCAATATTTTGCTATTTTCCACCAAATAAAAACAAGATTTATGCAATACCAATTACACTAATGACATCATCTATGCTGACAACATGATTGTCAATTTACAGGGTAGCAGTAACAGTATCGAAAACAGCCAAACTGATTATCTCGAAAAGGGAATTTCCGGAATAACATCGAAATAGAGAATAACATCGAAATTGTAAAAAAAGGAATTGTATTGAAAATCAGAAAAATAGAATAATCTCGAAATTGTGAAAAAAAGAACAATATCGAAAAGGGAATTTTCGGATTAATATCGAAAAAGAGAATATATCGAAATTGTTAAAAAAGGATTAGTATCGAAAATCTGAAAAGCAAAATAATCTAGAAACAGCTCAAAAGAGAAAAATATTGAAAAGGGACTTATCAGAATAATATCGAAATTGTGAATAAAGGAATAGTATCGAAAATTCCAAAAACGGAATTACATCGAAATTCTGAAAAAAGGAACAATATCGAAATGGGAATTTCCGGAATTATATCGAAACTGTGAAGAAAGGAATAAAATCGAAATTACATTTTTGATGTTAATCATTAAAATGAGTTTTCGATCTTATTCTGTTTTTATTGTTTTCGACATTAATCCGAAAATCACGTTTTCGACGTTAATCAAAAAATCATATTTTCGATGTTAATCATTAAAATGAGTTTTTGATCTTATTCCGTTTTTATTGTTTTCGATTTTGTTCCACATTTGTGAAATTCGATATAAAAACTTTTCGATATTAATCAGAAAAACACATTTTCGATGTTAATCAGTTAAATAATTTTTCGATCTTATTCCGTTTTTATTGTTTTCGATATTGTTCCACATTTGTGAATTTCGATGTAAAATTTTTTCGATATTAATCTGAAAATCACATTTTCGATCTTAATCATTAAAATGAGTTTCGATCAGTTATTTTTCGATACTAATCATTTTTTCGATCAGTTAATTTTATTACTAATTATTTTACTAATGTTTCTTATGTTATTTTTAATTATTTTACTAATGTTTCTTATGTTAATGTCATCTTAATGTTTTTCATGTTAATGTCATCCTAATGTTTTTCATGTTAATGTCATCTTAATGTTTTTCATGTTAATGTCATCTTAATATTTTTCATGTTAATGTCATCTTAATGTTTTTTATTTTGTTAATTTTGTTTGACAAAGTTAAAATAAAAATTTATTTTACTAATGAAAAACAAGAGATTCAGCATTATTAATGATTAAACTGCCCATTCAAATGCCACGATTCAAAAAGAACTATAAGGCTTGAAAAATGATACAACTGCATTGGGAAATAAAAAAAAATGTAATTTTAAAACTATTTTAAATTGAGAAGAAACGTGCTTTAAAATGCAACAAAAAAGTACAGTCGCACTTTGAAATATTAAATTGCGATTTTTATTAAGTTTGGTGAAATTACATAACGCACCATAGTGCACTCATTGTAATGCTTTTTATTTTTTTAACTTCAAATGCTTTTTAAAGTTTTCTTTAGAATAATCGCAAGGAATAAAATCTTTGTGGATCAAAATATGGTTTTATTAATTAACACACTTTTTTAAGAAACAAACTGTCTGTTCATCCTTCCGGGCTACTGACAGGTATTTTTTGAAAAATTTCAGTCACCCTTGGAGAAAAGGATACATCCCTGAACAAAGAAACAAGGTAGAAGTTAGAGGATCCAAAAAATTAAACAACATAAAAGAATCCAGACACAAATATATATATAATAATTATAAAAAATAGAAAATGAACTAAAAAAACAGTTATGATTGTATAAATCAATAACAACAACTAAAAAAATTCAAAATGTTAAGTTATAAAAAATAAACAACTCTAGATTTTAAAAAAAGTAAAATTTTTTTTTTTTGCTTTCATTTAAAACTTGAAAAATTGGAATAATAGCGCATAAATATTTTTAACAATTTAGTGGGTTAGCAAAAGAGGCTTCTAACCCTCCCTCAATATTTATCTGAAAGTTATAAACATAAGTTATAAACATAAGGGAACAATTGCAACATCTTTTGACAATTTTAATAATAAACTCTGATATTAATAGAGAAAACTATATATAATAATATTCTAAACATTTCTGTCATCTTATAGCAAATCAAATTTTAACAAATCTACTAAAAATTACTTTGAACCAGCAAAGCGAGAAGCATATTTTTGAATATGGTTTTTCAGATTAGTAGGCGATATATAATTTGGTGCATTTTCTGTCCAAACATCTTTTAGTAATTGTGCAAATGCTAAATAAAAATAAAAAGTTTATATAATACTTTTGTACATTTTGTTAAAAGACAGCAATACATATATAAACTACATTCTTTATCAGAATTGTTTATAAATACATAACACTACACTACAATAACGATATTAAAAAAATAATTAATAAAGAATATGAATCAACCCAATAACAGAAGTGACATAACTTATAGCAAAGAAACAGCTTTTTTTACTATAACTTATGTCAGTTAAATAAGTTATGGCCATTTAGTACCACCTGTGAAACTACTTTAAAACATTATTATCATTTATATATTTTAGACTATATGCATAAACTGTGCAATTGTCAATCAACTCAAAACCACACTTGTGACTCTTTGAATCTATGTACTACTTGTGACTATTATGTACAATTTGTTATCTCCTTTGTAAATAAGATTCTTTATCGGCTTTACCAGTGTCAACTTGTATTTTACCAGTGTCAACTTGTATTTTACCAATGCCTACATTTTTCACTGAGTGAGAACCTTCAGCAGTTTACTGACACATAATGGACTGCGCAACATTAACAAGTGATAACATGCCAATCAATTTCCTTGCATTAATTTCTTCTAATCTTTTTGAAACGTTGATTGAATTTGATGCCAAAACATCTTCCTTTTTATGTAATAAGGTTTAACCCTAACCAACTTGTGGGGAAATTTGTATTTTGCATCAGTAAACTAAAAAATTTACTCTCTTTAACTCTGTAAAGTATTTCCAATTAATTGGAAATACTAAAAACAGAGATTAATTTCCAATAAAATAAAATAATTTTTTTTACTAATTTTTATACTTAATAGGTTAGACAGTTATGTTATTCTTGTCAGAAGTTATGTGAAAGACATTTGGCACTATTAACATTAGGGTGGCTTATAAAACTACATTTTTTGAAAATGTCTGCTGGTACGCCCTTATGGTGTTCTCTGTAATAAATTAATATAAAATAAAAAAAATTTTTAAATAAAATAAATTTTTAGGGGTTGTTTAAAACCCTTAAACATTGGTCTCTAATATTTTGAAAAAAAAAGTTCTTTAAAAGCATATTTTGTTGGGTCTCAAAAGAAGTGAAATTTTATAAAAATTTTAAAAACCATGAATATAATTTATGGAAACACAAATTAAAAAAGTTTATTTTAAAAAAATTATGAAAATATGTACTTTTTTACTTTTTGTTAAAAAACAATAATTTTTAAGCCATAAAATTTAAACTAGTAATCTTTATATAAAATGATTTATGTTTTTGGAGTTTTGTGAGCCACCCTAATGTTAATAGTGCCAAATGTCTTTTACATAACTTCTGACAAGAACAACATAACTGTCTAATCCATTAAGTATAAAAATTTGTAAAAAAAAAAAATTTTACACTTTCTAGCAGTGATTATAAAGGTTGTATATAAAAAATCCAAGAAATATTTTACAAAAATACAGAATTTATTTCACATATACAAGCCTTCTCGAAAAAAGGCCTGTGGTCAGAGACCTTATATGACCATGTCATAGATGAGTATTTGACTTTATGAAAATCCCGGAAATTTTTTTTCTATGATAATCTCGGAAAATCCATGAAAATTATTTTATTAAAAATTGATTGCATTTAACTGACAAACCGAATTGAGATTATTTTAAAATGGAATTTAGATTATTTAACTTTTTACAAAAAGAAACTTCTAATATTCGAAAAAGTTTAAATGAATTAAAAAGCAAAAAAAAAAAGAAAAAAAATTGTTACGAAAATTGATCTAGTAAAAATTTTAATTATAGAAAACATATTTGTTTAAATGCAAAAGTTGTTGTATGTAAAATTTTATGTAAAAGTATATTAATTTTTTTTCAAATTAATATCAAAAAACATCCAAAAATTTCTGGAAAATTAAAGGTGTTTTAAGTGAATTTCCGGATTTCCGGAATTCCGGAAATTTCTGGAAAAAACTCATCTATGGACCATGGACCATGCATAGAATATTTATCTTTTGACAGCCTTGCCACAGTTTTTTTTGCATATTTTGATAATTTGCGCCTTTTAAAAATGCTCTAAAAAAATTAAGCTGATTTTATTAAAACATTAAAAATAAACAGACCCTAAACTGAATATAGAAACAAACTTAACAAATGTTAAATTAAATAAAAGATGAACTGAAAGTAAAAGCAGAAAAATAGTTTTTTACTTAATACTTTTTTAATCTGAAAAAAAAACTTTATTTTTATTTTTTTGTTCTAATTACTCTGTTATTATTCTGGAATAATGTCGTTGTACTTAAAATAATATTATATATACACATATATATATATATATATATATATATATATATATATATATATATATATATATATATATATATATATATATATATATATATATATACAGGTTTTGGCTAGAATGGTGGGCTATAGCCCGCGCTCGCCTTTACACCCGTGAGAATCAGTTTACATGGGCGAAAAAAATCCTGTGCAAAATACAAATTTTTGGTACAAATAAAGTTAAATATTTTTTTATTTTTATTAAGTTATTCTTTTAAAAACTTCTCAAATGATATAATTTTGTAAAACTGTTTGTTTTAATAGTTAAAAAACCAAACTATTTCATTCAGGATATGCTAAAAAAATTATGAAAAAAATAATTTTTGAATTTTCTGATGTAAAAATAAAAATCAAACAAGTTATTTCAAACAGCTATAATAACAGTTCCATATTATTATGTGTTATGTTAAAAGATAAATGATTAGTATGTTAAAAAACAGGCAAAATATGCATGTGTTACAAAAGAATTTAACATAATAGTCTGGGTTTTAAGTATTCTTTGGAAATTTTAAAACTTATACAATAAGAACTGTTAGTTCAATAGACAATTTCTTTTTTGTATAACCACACATTTTGCTTGATTGATTGATAAACTAATTTGTCATACTTTAAAGTTGTTTAAAGTAGTACATATTTCCCTGTATTCTTCCATGTTAACTTCCTGATTTTTTTTGAAATTGAAAATATTTTGGGCTAAATTATTTAAAATGAATGTTTATAAATAATCTATAACTATATATATTTCTTTTGTATGATAAAAATAATACTATATGATTTCTTCATATTTTAGTTTCGTTTTTATACTTGCACTTTACTTAATACATTTAAATATATTTTACAGTCATAAATCTGATATATAAAATAATACTGCATTTAATACCCTTCTATTGGTTCTATTCATAAATAAATGTAAAAAAGATTTGTTTTTTTTTTAATTCATTTAACGCTTTTTTTATATACGCTTATATTATATAAGAATATATTTAAGAAGTATATATACCAGAATCTTAAAAAATTTATTTGTACTAAGTCTCTTAGAAATTAAAAATTAGATTACCTCAAATTTTAACTTACATATCACATCAACATAACATATATTTTCTCCTAATTTCCGAAAAGAATATAAAATCAATTACAAATCATAAAAGAGTATTATAGTAATTTGAACGGAAAAGGTAGTAATAATTAAGATTTTAGTCTAAACAGTTGAAAAACAATTGTAAAGAATAGAACTCTTTGGTTCAAGGTTTATTTAAAAAAAAATTTCAATATAATTGTCACTATATCTTTATAGCTTAGAGATATCACGGTTAAAATTTAATTTAATTTACAAAGCACAAGAAAAATGAATTAACTAAAGAAGTGCAATAAAAAATGTTATACTTTATTTAATTATTTAAATAAGACAAAACATTAATACTCAAATAGATCTTGCAAATTGCTACATTGCAAAATTTTTTTGCAAATGTCAAGATGCTTGTATAAAGAAACGTGATGGTTGTGAAGGTTGTTTTTCTGCCATTTTTAACCTAGCTTGCAAACTCAACAAAAATCCGATTATACAACTGATAAAACTGGAGAATAAAAGAATAAAGTCTGAATAAAAATCGAGAAACAAAACCAAAACAAAAACATAATAACAAAAACTCACAAAGTGGAGCACACACTAATAACTCTGAGCAAAAGATAAAAACTGCACAGTAACTTCGAAAAACTATTATCTCAATTTTACAAGTATCCAACTATTTGAAGTTTAATTACCAAAGCCTTTTTAAATGATTTGTCACTTTCTTTGTTGAATGAAACTTGTAGAATTGTAGATTGTAGACATTTTCTATACTATGACATTTTCATTCACAAAGGAGAAAAGAAATGAATGAACATAATAAAATAATGAAGAAGAGAAATGAATGATCATAATAAAATAATTAAGATCATTTGTTTTTATAAAACAACTATTTGATGTATAACAGTTTTTTATTTATTGTTGTTTTATTAGAATGATTATATTTTATAAGAACAATTATATTTTAACTTTTGAATATTGTTTTTTATTTATTATTTAATTAATTACTAAATTATTAAATAAAAATTATATATAATAATTATATTTAAAAAAAAAACGTTTATTTTTTTTTTGCAAGTTGTTATTCTGTCTTTTTATTAATAAAAAACATTTAATATTACAATTAAAATTTTACTATTCCTTGCATGAAGAATCAACTAAATAAACTTTTTTTCAAAGTTTATTTAGTTGATTCAAAGTTTTTTAAAGCTTGCCAATCAAATGTAATTTTTTCACAAAAACAAGTTATTTTCCCTTGGATTTTTTGAAATTTCTCTAAAAATAGTCGATCATTGATCGTTGATTGGCCGTTATTTCGAGCGCTGATATATATAGATTTAAAATGTACATATGAATATATATATATATATATATATATATATATATATATATATGCAATTGACAGTGGTTCTTTTGCTTGTGGTGTATTCATAGATCTTCAAAAAGCTTTTGATACGGTTGATCACAACATTCTAATAAAAAAGTTAAACTACTACGGAATACGTGGTATTGCTAATCATTGGTTTTCTTCATATATTACGGATCGCACTCAGTTTGTTTCAATTAATGGATTTGAATCCACACATAAATATGGCGTTCCACAAGGTTCCGTTCTTGGACCGTTGTTGTTCTTATTATATATAAATGATTTATCTTGTTCGTTAAAAAATTCTATGATACATCATTATGCTGACGATACCAATCTTTTATATATCAACAAATCCCTCACGACTATTTGTAAAAAAGTTAATCAAGATCTTCATCGCTTATGTAACTGGTTAAATAGTAACCGTATTTCCTTGAATGTCAATAAAACTGAATACATTATTTTTCATTCCCCTCAAAAAACTATTGATCATATTAAAATTAAAATTAACGGTAAAAAACTTTTTCCATCAAAATATATAAAGTATCTTGGAATATATCTTGATGAAAACCTATCTTGGTATAATCAACTGTATCATCTAAAAAAAAACTTACACAAGCTAACCAGGGTTGGAAAAAACCCTGGGTTTTTTAAAAAAACCCAACCCAAATGGGTTTTTTTGGGTTTTTTCAAAACTGACCGTTATTAGGAAAAAAAAAAATACTTTCCTAGATATTTAAAAACCATTTTTGTTTTTAAATTTTTTTAATTAAAAATACAATGTGTTATAAACCAGGATGGAAAGTTCAATTTCTAAATTTATAGTTCATTTACCCTAAATGTTCTTACTTTTATTGTTGAAATACCTTAAGTCTCTAACCACTTTTGGAGCTCTTGGACACTTACGTCTAGGTAAATGTAGTTATGTTATGACTTTTAAAACTGCAAAGTTTTTTGGAATTTCCTGATTTAAACTAGTTAACATTATTTATTTATATTTTAATCATAATAGAATTTATTTTTAGAAAATTTTTTTTTTTAATAAGAATATATATTATGGCTCCTGGATCTGGAAGGAAACTTGCATGTGAATGGAATGATGTGACTAAATTATCAAAAACTGTTTCCGGAAAAGTAATACTGCAGTGCCAGTGCAATTATTGCAATGAAATTATAAATAGCCAAAAAGTAGAAAGAATTAGAATTCATTTAAATAAATGTAAAAAAAAAAAACCATCTGCTGATGTTGTAGAACGAAATAAAAATTTTATTTTAAAAGATGGTCAAGTATCATCTCAGGCATCTATAAACTTGTGTAATTTTGTTAGCCCAGTTGCTTCAGAATCTTTTGAAGCATCAAGCACTTCTGGTGTCTTTGAGAGTAGTTACTCTGGTTCAACACCTACCCCATATAAAAAACAAAAGTTAATAGAAAACTACATATCAAGAACAAGCTCAGATCAAAAGGATGTTTTTGACTTGCAAGTTGCCAAATTTTTTTTTGCTTGCAATATTCCATTTAATGCTGTAGAAAATAGAGAATTTAAAAAATGTATTAATTTTTTGAGACCTGGTTATGATCCTCCAAACCGGAAGAAACTTTCAAGTGAGTTACTGGATAAAGTTAATGATGAAGTAATTGTATCTATGAAAAGTGAATTTGCAAATAATAGGAGTACTATTACATTGATACAAGATGGTTGGAGCAGTGTCAGAAATGATCCAGTTATTGCTCACAGTGTACATAACGGAAAGACCCCATATTTAATCTCCGCTATAGATGCCGGAAGTGAAAAAAAAACTTCAGAATATTGTGCTCAATTAGCCATTGAAGCAATAAAACACATCAAAAAGGTTTATGAACAAGATGTAAGTATAATAATACTGTATCATAGTATTTACTTTAATTTAAGTTAACTAAAAATATAAGAATATTTGTCTACTTCCAACAGGTATTTGCCATTTGTACAGATAACGAGAACAAAATGAAAAAGATGAAAGAAATTCTTAAAGAGGAATATCCATTGCTACTTACATATGGATGCTCAGCTCATTACTTAAATTTAGTTGAGAAGCAGGTGACACATTTCTGGCACATTTCATTGAAGTTAACAAGTACTTCCGAAATCATCACCAACCACGTGTGAGTAAATATTGTTTATAATATATCATTTTAATTTTACAGTTTCAAATTTTTTTACTCATTTACTCAGTGGATTTTATTATTATATCAACTAATTGAACTAGTTCTTAATTTCAGGGATGGCTTTTGGATGATAGGAATGGAGTTATGCCGCAACTTCCTAATGATACACGATGGAACTCTCAAGTAGACTGTTTAAAGACTTATATTAAAAATTATAGCCACTATCTTGATATTATAGAGAAGCATGAAGGTGATATTAAACATAATATCAAGAAAATTATAGATAATGCTGCAATTTTCAGGGAAGCTAAAAATCTTCAAATTCAACTGTAGAAATGTGAGATAGCTTTAGATAAGGTAGATATGTAAATTGAAGTTGTTAGTCATTAAAATATTGTGAACTGCGCTTCAATATACTGTTAAAATATTTATATAGGTACTTAAAAAAAAATTATATTTATAGCTACAAAGTGATTCAACATCATTGTCAGATGCATGTGAAATTTGGTTGTCTCTCCTGAAAGATGAAGACCTGAAGCCATATTATATTGAAATTAAGTTAAAATTTGATGAAGCAATGGAACCTTTTCATTTTTTGGCAAATTTGACTGATATTAAATACCAAGGTATGGCCACAAAATCTAACCCCAAAATTGAAAGAACAGACTTAAAACTACATTTTTTTAACTTACATAACACATTAGTCGATTCTAGACTACAGACACAATATACGACTAATAAATAATATCCATATAGGATATTTATTTCTCATTTATAAAATATAAAACAAAAAAATAATATTCTTTAATTTTAGGAAAATCTTTAAGCATTGAACAAGAAGCTGCTGCAGAAGCTTGGCTAAGTGATAGGCACAATGAATACTTGGCTGGTTACTATGATTTCAGGCTAAAAGTCACAACTACCTTTCCACAGCACATGTTTAACGATAACTTTATTGCTACAATTTCAAGTGAAAGATGGTGGGGTATAATAGATATGAAGCAAAAGCTGCATTAAAAATCTTTACCACTACCAGAAGGGTTTGCAAAGTTTTTTCAATCTCTTCATAGTTGTCCTGCAAGCACTGGCTCCATAGAAAGAGTGTTTTCTACTTTTGGTATTGTGTGGAGCAAGTTAAGAAATAGGTTAGGAAACGATAAAGCTGAAAAGCTTGTTCGAATATATAGACATTTGAGAGGCGAAGAATTTGATTGGTAAACAACAAATTTGTAAAGCTTCTGTAATTTAAAGAAATATAGTTTGTAATCTTTATTGATTTTTATTTTTCTTTAAACTGATTTTCACCAATTGTTTTTTCTGTATTACCCCAACCAGCTATGCAAATGATTAATCATATTACGGATTATTCTGTAAGGAGTGAACTGAAAATTATAATAAACATATATATATTTCATAATAAAGGAGTAATAAATCTTATATTATTCACAATAAAGGGTTTAAAAAAGCTAAAGGCAGATTTATCTGTTGTAAAAAAAGACATTTTTAAAAAAACCCAAATATCTTTGGGTTTTTTTGGGTTTTTTGGGGTTTTTTTGAGGTGGGTTTTTTTGGGTTTTTTTGGGTTGGGTTTTTTTGCCAACCCTGGAGCTAACAGTATGCTTTCTCTAATTCGTTACTATGTTCCTATCCAAACTCTTCGAATGATTTATTTTTCTTTATTCTCTTCTCACCTTTGCTATTGTTGTTCTGTTTGGGGTCAAAAAAGAAACTTTTTACTTAACAACATTGCTAGTTTACAACGCGCATCTATTAGAATAATGACGTTTTCCCCAATGAGATCTGATATCGAAAAAAAAATTTCTGAACTAAAAATCCTAAAACTCCATAATCTTGTAAAGTTTTACAATTGTCTTTTTGTGTTTGACTTTCTCCAAAATAAACTACGAAGCCCTTTTTCAAATTTTTTTATTAAAACAAACGAAGTTCATAATCATCACACCAGGAATACAGAAAATAGTAAGCTATACTATTCTTTTTTCAGCACAAGTAAATATGGTAAGTTATCCATAAAACAACAATGTATCTCTCAATGGAACCAGTGTATTCCTGCATTAACAAAAAAGTCTAAGAAAAAATATCCACTTGTTACGAATTTTTTACTGCTCAACAGAATTCAATTTAAAAATATATTGTTGGAGTGTATTTCTTTATAATTTCTCTCTGTACTATAGTTGTCTTGTGGTTTGATTTTTATTTTATTTATTATTTACCAATCTTATATTTATTTATTATTGTGTTATTAATGTTACATTTTATGTTATTATTATATATAATTATCATCTATGATTTGTACATACAATTTATATTGTATTATAATATTCTTAATATTATTGGTACTTTATTGTTATTGTTATTATTTTGTATTATTACTATTATTATTACATATATCATTATTATTTGTTTAACAATCTTTTCTTCTTTTCTTTATTATTTATATATACAGATATTAAGTCTTTCCTTTTTTTTTTTTTTGTTTTGTTTTGTTTTGTTTACTTCAGTTTCCTTTTTTTTTTTTCTTTCTATTTATTTATTTTTTCGTGAAATTTTTATGTTTTTTAGGTGTCACTCCATTGACTAGTTTGTAACTATATGAGTGACACCTAACCAATTTATATTAATTTACGATGAAATTTGTAAATTTTATTGATATGGTTGAATAAAAAAAAAATATATATATATATATATATATATATATATATATATATATATATATATATATATATATGTATATATATATATATATATATATATATATATATATATATATATATATATATATATATATATATATATATATATATATATATATATATATATATACACACACAGTGAAGAACCCAGATGTGTTTTAGTACAGTTGGACTTGGACGTATGGGCTCCCAATAATTTTTCTTTCACTTTTTTATGAAAAATAGAAAAAAAAATTTGTTTTAAATGCAGTAGTATATAAATAATTTTCAGTTTATTTTAGCAACCTCATTTTTTCTTCAGGAAAATAAAATGAATTAAAAAGAAAATTTAGTTTCTTTTCAATATTCTTTTTGACTAAAATAAAAATTCAACAACTTAAAACTTTTAAACAGATTTTAATAAAACATAAAAGTTTTATTAAAATCTGTTTAAAATAACCCTGAATATATAGTAAGTAAATGTAGTTTATTTATTAAACGTAATTTTTTAAATTATATTTAATGAATAAAAATATATATTTTTTAAAATATATGTTTTTTAAAATATAATATGCTTTTTAATCAAAAAAATATAACATTTTTAAAATTATGTTTACCATAACTATCTCTTCTTTAATAATTTTTATTTAAAAGGCGCCTTAAAATCACTTTAAAAATTATTAATCTTTATTAAAAGTTAAATGAACAGATTCGGTAATATTTAAATCAAAATTTTAAAATTAAAATAACAGTAAATAAGTTTATTAAATGCTTAAGTTTTTAATTCAAATACAAGACATAAAACTATTTTGTTAATTTTACAAATATTATGCAATTTAATATATATATATATATATATATATATATATATATATATATATATATATATATATATATATATATATATATATATATATATATATATATTAAATGTAATGTAATTAATTATGCAATGTAAATGTTCTATTAATTATATAATGTTAATACTTATTAAAAATTATTTAAAGTATTTAAACATTTAATTACTAATTATTCAAAACAATAATAACTACTAAAATTAAATTTATTAAAATATAGTTAATAAATGTTTAAAACACTTTAAACAAATTTCAATAATTATTTACCAATAGTGGTATTTGCAACAAAAGCCTTTATTAAAGTCTTAAGTAAAATAGCTTTCTCATTGTATCAAAAGTAACGTCCACCAGTAAATTCAGGTATTCAAAAAAAAGCCCTTAAAACAACTCCTTATTATAGGATAAAACTAAACAAGATAAACATAAATGATTATTGAAAAAACAATGATTGAAAATTATTGTTGCGTCACCTGTTTAACTAGAGGAGGAGGAGGGGGAATAGGAGGAGGGGGAGATTCAAAAACAACCTCCTTCCCCCCCCCCCTCAATATTGCTAAAAAAAACCGGTATCCCCAAATAAACTCTGGGTTCTTCACTTAAATATATATATAAATAATATTTTATGTATATAAAATGTAATATATATATATATATATATATATATATATATATATATATATATATATATATATATATATATATATATAACTAGAGGAGGAGGAGGGGGAATAGGAGGAGGGGGAGACTCAAAAACAACCCTCCTTCCCCCCCCCCCTCAATATTGCTAAAAAAAACCGGTATCCCCAAATAAACTCTGGGTTCTTCACTGAAATATATATATAAATAATATTTTATGTATATAAAATGTAATATATATATATATATATATATATATATATATATATATATATATATATATATATATACAGGCCTTGGCGGGAATAAATGAGCACGAAAGCAGAGAAAAGCCCTCCTAAAACGAACTTGGGGAGCTGTGCAAACTGCTCCTCATTTAAATCAGCGCTCTTTTTTATTTTTTATTTTTTTTAAACAACTGTACTTTTTAAAAACAATTGCAGTATATTATGCAATTAACTTTTTAAAAATAATATTGTTTTTTTTTTTTAGTTACAACGATAATTGTACTTTCATGAGAAAAGTTATACTTTAGCGAGAGCCATAAATTGCTACCGTAAACCGTCTTAGGGAAGAGTGGGCAAGAGCGAAAGCTCTCGCTTCCCGTGGAGGCCTCTCTCTCTCTCTCTATATATATATATATATATATAAATATATATATATATATATATATATATATATATATATATATATATATATATATATATATATATATATATATATATATATATATATATATATATATATATATATATATATATATAGATATAGATATATATATAGATATATATAGATATAGATATATATATCTATAAGATACATAAGTTTTTTGCTTTTGACATTAACACCATTACACACATCTTCAGATGTGGTTCCTTTTATTCAGGTTTATAAAAACAAATCATTCCATTAATTGTCTTTTAGTCTTCGGTATTGCAATGAAAACTAGACAACAATAAGGAAACAATTTCACACAAGGACCTAATTCTAAAACAAACAATTTCATTTTTACATTAAACTTTTGTTCTAATTACAATTAAAATAACACAAAAATTCTCAAATATTTTTTTGCAATGTAATAAAAGGTGATCATTGAAATAAAAAATCCAATTAGAACTTAAGGCAATAAATAAGAAAAAAGTATGAAACCTATCAAAAATAATCTCTTTTAACTATCAACTGTCTGGTTATATTTTTATTGTATTGTTCTCAAGTTTCCGTTTTTTTTATATTTTATATACAACAACTTTATACCAGAATATATCGTAATAAGAGCAAAACAAAAACCCTCAAAAATAATCTCTATGAACTATCAACTAAACAGTTACATTTTTATTTCATTGTTCTCGAGCTTCTGTTTTTTTATATTTTATGTACAAGAATTTTATGCCACAATATATTGTGATAAGGAAAAAAAAAAAAAAAAAAAGAGGAAAAAGAAAGCATTTCTTTTAATTTAGCTTTGCGGTGGTAGCTAAAAAAAATAGGAAAAAGTTTTTTTTGTAAGGTCTGAAGCATAATATAATAAAGAGCAACCCCTTAATATATATATATATATATATATATATATATATATATATATATATATATATATATATATATATATATATATATATATATATATAATAAGCAATGTTAGATCTCAGAAACATATAAAGGCTTCTTAAAAGCTTCAGCATATATTTTTTTAGGCTACATTTATTATAATAAAATCATTTAGATTTTATTATAAAAAGTTATAATTAATATGATTAAACCATGTAAGCAACGAAAAATATAATACATATAATTAATATTTATATATGATTTTGGAACAGTGCTCCTTTAAACCTGTTCATCACCATAAAAATTACATACCATTAGCAAGTTTTCCACTAGATTCTTTGAAGGTTGAAAAATAATCACGCAAAAGTTTTGTTTTGAATAAACATTGTAATACACAATTCATGTAACACTAACAAAAATAAATTTATAAATAAATTATAACAAAATTAATGACAAATATATTTTTAACTGTATCAATCAGTTAAAAATAAAAGATAAATTATATTGAAAATTCTTATTTATTTTAAGTTTTATTTCTTACTGTGTTGCCAAGATTTTGTAAGCCAACCAAGCCATGACCAAAAGTTAATGGTCTTTTACTGGAGGGTAAGCTATGCTAAATATTTAAACAACGATGTTAAGCTAACATAAAAAATATAAAACTACTATTATTGAGTATTATTAGTATTTTGGTGTTTAGCTCCAACTACTATTATTGAGTATTATTTGAATTTTGGCGTTTAGCTCCAAGTCAGAGGTTTTTAATACATAAACAACAAGCTACTAAATAAAGAACATGCCAAGTTATTAACATAATATGCATCGTGCATCTATAATCTGTGAATATATATTTTAATATGTAAAGATTAATATTTTTAGCAATACCTTAATTCATTTCATTATTTTGTTTGTACATTTTGTTTACTTCAAAAACATTTTTTGGCATATAACAATTCTATATTTAAATTTATATAAAAAACTATAGAAGAACATAATAGAAAAAAATAGTATTACTAAAAATAAAATTTCAGTTTTTTGATTGTGAAGCTTTATATCATACTTAATCATTTTCAAAAATCTATTTTAAAAATTTAGTAGTGATAGAGTTGTAGAGAGATTGCTTGGTAAGCTAGAAGCTTAGAATTCAAACCCACCATAACCCAGGAAGTACCACTCTCAACTTGCTTCTCCTTCTTGTCATCATCATCATCATCATCATCATCATCATCATCATCATCATCATCATCATCATCATTATCATCATGATTGTCATTGTTGTCATTGTTGTCATCATTATCATCATTACCCCAGCGCTAGAAATAGTTTTTTAAAGCTTGCCAATCAAATGTAATTTTTTCAAAACAGTTTATTTTCCCTTGGATTTTTCGAAACTTCCCTGATCATTTATCGGACATTATTTCAAGCGCTGTTACCCTACTCCTTTTTGTTGCTGTCATCATCATTACCATTACTATCATCATCATTATCATCAATATTATTCATATATCATCATTATCATCATCATCATCATCATCATCATCATCATCATCATCATCATCATCATTATTGTCAATATTATCACTATCACAATTACGATATTACATATCAAGTATAAAAATATATATAAACCAACTTACCCTTCTTGGTGATACTACTTCAATCACACTTGATTCAAGTTTAGATGATCTTTGATTAAGGTTGATTTCCGAAGACGAACGTTTTATTAGCTTTTTATCAAATTCTTGTATTTCATTAGAACTATTATTCGACTGATTTTTCAGATCATATTCCATTGATTTCTGATTTGAAAAATTTATATTTGAAATACGTTCTGTTACAGTGATTATATCGTTTGAAGATCCATATGTTTTATGAAGTGATGAACTTTGTTGAATAGAGTTTGGTTGACCTAATTTATTTAATTTTAATTTAGCATTATTTAATAATTCAATCGATCTCTTTTTAACAGATTGTTGATTTCTACTATTACAATTTTTTTCAAGTAATCTTTTAAAACTATCATCATCGTCATCACTCATTCTACTACTAATGTCTGACATAGAATTAGTCTTTTTCAGAGGAAGTATATTTACCTGATTAATTTTAATTTCACTATGCTTTTTTTGAGAAAGTTTAATGCTATGATCTGCTTTTAGAGGGCCTCGAGGTGATTCTTTGTGATGCATATCAACTGAACATGAGTGATCCTTATAAACTCTATTAATTTCTTTTTTTTTAATACCTTTATCATATTTATCATTTGCATTTAAAGGAAACCTAGGCAGCAACTTATTGGGGTAGTATTCTGCAACTCTATTATTGGAAATGTTTTGATTCATTACTATTCTGAATGATGGTTCAAAATTAATCTATTAAATGTCACACCATATTTATCTAGTTTTAACATGACACTACACATATTTAGCTTGAAATTAAAAAGAACTAAAACAAACATGAAAACAAAAATTAGATCAATATATTTATTAATTTATATATATATATATATATATATATATATATATATATATATATATATATATATATATATATATATATATATATATATATATATATCATTTTATAAACATCATTAAATACAATTTCTCAAAATACTATATTATTATTATTATTTGTAAGAAATTTTTGCTGAACTTTTGATAGCAGCATCTCAGCTACAAACATTAACAACATTTTTTACCCAAACCATATCACAATTTAAAAAAATCTAAATAATCTAAATTCATGAATAGTTACAACTAATAAATATTCCTTATATACATTTTAAATATATATTTATAAGATTAAACTTTAATAGATCTTTATTTCAATATTCACATATTAAATTACATACACTTTTTTTCCTTAATTTAAAAATAAACATCATTTATGATATAATAAGTATTTATAATCAATTTATAAATTTACAATTGTGCGGGACATTTACAAACAGTTATAAACTGATGACATGTAAAGACCTATAATGGTATAAATAATAACATAATAATAATAATAATAATAATAATAATAATAATAATAATAATAATAATAATAATAATAATAAATAACAAAAATAAATATTATTAATAATAATAGAAATAAATATTAATAATAATAATATTAATAATAATATTAATGCAGTAATATAAAACACTATAATAATATTAATAATAATATTAATGCAGTAATATAAAACACTATAATCAATATATATTTTACTACTATAATCAAAATAAAACATTTATAGCAAATAGTGATTATCCTTAATAATAAAGCAAAATAAAAATATAAGAATCTTAATAATATCAATAACAAAAAATAGGACAGATAAAAAGTAGGAAAAAAAAAAAAAAAAAAAATAGTTGAAGAGAATTAAGCAGGGGCGATTGCATAGGAAATAGTTTATTGTATATTTATTAAATGTTAGATAGTTTAATAACAATGCCACAATCTTTAAGATCCATATACACTATATCGGATGATGAAAATAAGGTATTTGATTGCGACTAGATGAACATTTATATATTTTTATGTTTTACTTTTAGAGTTTTGTATTTTTTATTTTTTTTTTTTAGAGTTTTATATTTTTATTTTAATTTTATGAGTTTTATTTTTTTATTTCTATTTTATGGGTTTTATAAATTTATTTATGAGTTTTATACTTTTATTTTATTAAAAATTCAGCCACAAAGAATGACTAGGGGGTGATAGCATAAATGATAGTTCATTGATTGTCTTTATTGAGGAGAAACTTTTTTACATGGGTTATGAAGGCATTTCTATTTGTCATTTTGGATAATAATATTTTAGTTTAATAAGATTTTATAAGATAAGTCATGTAATGAAAAAAAAAAATATTAAAGCCACACATTTATTATATTATAATACAACAATTAAAATATAAGTACAAATTGCACAAATATTTTATATAATATATATTATAGTATATGTATTAATAATATATGTACTGATAGTACTAAAAGTGACTAATTGTACTACAATTATTCACTTATTATTTCTTAATGTTTGTAATAAATTAAAAAAATTATATACAGCCTATACATAACATTATTAATATTTCTTTTTACAACTTAATAAAAAAATGGAAAATTAAAAAATGACTACTGACTTATTAAAATTAATGATGACATAAAAACATTAAAAATAATAAGTCAGAAAATTAGGAAATGTTAACATTTCTTAATTTTCTGACTTAAAATTAATAGAGGTTATTTTGGCTTTATTTTATTTACGCAAAAAAGCTTAAACTGCATAATTATATGTTTAGTACAATTTTATTTTGAAATAACACTCTACCTTTAGAAGAACAAACGTTATATTGAATTCATTTTAGTATCGGAAAATTAGAATTAACCCCCTCAACATATTTATTTATAGCTACCATTATGAAATGCTGTTTCTATGAAAGATGCATGGGCTCACATTCTAGTAAAAGTTAATATAATTTAAAATTAAAAAAGTAAATAATTTTATTTTATATATACGACCGTTACTCAGTTACAAAAATTAAAACATGCGTAAATAAAATCGTCCGCTATGACGGGTTTCTGTATAATGAATACTTATTCTAAATATATTTGAAATATATTTAGTAGGCCCGTCCCGAACGGGGTATAGGGGTTGTCTCTCTCCCAAGCTGTTCTATATGCATTTGAGTTAGCACAATTGTACATTTAGCATTTCAGTTGGCAAGTTTAGAAGTATAGTTGGCATAATATGCCAAATCCACTATATTTGACATATTATGTCAAATATAGTAGATTTTTTTTTAAGTCTCTAGTAGGCAAAAAACACATATAGCACCTCCCCTCTATATGAGAGACCTTTTCGGGACAACCCTATTTATATACATCTTTAAATGAATCTTTAATTGAAATGCATTCCAAAGATTTTTCTAATTAGCAGCATATTTTTTGGTTCCACCAATACCTTTGGTGGAAGTGAAATTAAAATTAATCAGGTAAATATATATATATATATATATATATATATATATATATATATATATATATATATATATATATATATATATATATATATATATATATATATATATATATATATATATATATATATATATATATATATATATATATATATATATATATTTATATATATACAGGGCCGGCGCGAGTAGGTGTCACGTGGGGGGGTGCCATTACAACTTTTGCCGACTAAAAAAAAAAAAAAGAAAAAAAAAAAAAAAAAATAGGTCCTCGTTTTCCAAAATTTGCCGACTGTCATTACGACATTTGCCGACTGTCTAACCTATATCGAAAGGGTCGACATTTGCCGACTAACTAGTCTAAAAAGGTCCGATTTGCCGACTAAGAGTCCAGTTTGCCGACTAAAAAACATTGATGGGGGGGGTGTCACACACCCCCACACCCCCCTATCGCGACGGCCTTGTATATATATATACATATATATATATATATATATATATATATATATATATATATATATATATATATATATATATATATATATATATATATATATATATATATATATATATATATATATATATATACATTTTGAACAAATAAATTTGAAGTTTTTTTGAATGATTTAAACATAATACAGTATTAAACTAACTCATATAGGTCACAAAATGTCTTTACCAAAGACCGGCAGTTGTGTCTTTTAACCAGGGTTGATAGGGACTGTATTCCATTAGTAGCGACATTTTAATGGCCATTAGTGTTTGCCGAAACACGACTTGAAAAATTTGAAAATAAAACTTTTTTCATTTTTATCCGATAGAGAACAAGCACTCCCCTATAAGCAATGTACTAAGACTTTATTCAAGCAATCAAAGCAAAAAAGAGCTGATTTTTACGAAAAATGGAGCATGCGACAACAACTGTTATCCAGTTCACTATTATAAAGATAGAGAGATATTACAAAGTGAGTTTGAAATTCAGATTGATATTACATAAAGTAATCCAAGATCTTTATATTTCGTTGTTTACTTTTTTTTATCTTTTTTTTATTTATTTGAATTTTCATGCTATTTTTTCTATACAATGTTATATCCGACGATATTGTTGGCTTAGCATAGGAACAGCCACAATTAGTCATTAGGACTAATTCAAAGTAGCGTCCGTTATTGACCAACATTTTTGCGTACGAAGTACTACTCAAGCGCTGAGTTAACAGTGGCGTTCTGTACAACAGTCCGGGTTTTGACTTTTCGTTTGACGCTATAACTAACTGATATTTAACTTTTAGATATTTAGCATTAAAGTTTTACAAATTTTCCTCATATTATCCTAAATTTTACAATCTAAAACTATATATCGAAATTTATCCATAAATTGTTACTCTTTATAAACTACATTCTAAACTTTTCTGTAAACCCTTGAAATTTTAAAAATATTTACTAGTATGTTGTGGCGGCTAAGCATTGATTTATTGTTGAAGTTTCTTCGCAAAATGGTTGGAAATAGTTTGTGTGATTACAATTTGTTATTTAATTTTTTTTAGTTTTAGTTTTTTGAAAGAAAGGCAATGTAATTTTTATTCGATGTCAATATTAATCATATGGTGAGTATAAAATTGAATAAAAAACAATTGAAAGTTTATATATTTCTCTTTTATACATTGATACCTCAAATATATAGGTACCTCATATACTTCTCATATTAATACCTCATATACTTCTCATATAAATACCTGACATACGTGAATATAGCTTGAGTATGTATGCATTAAATAAAATATAAACTTTTACATCATTTAAAAAAAAAAAACGCTTTAAGAATAATTTAACTTTAGTAATAGTACATTAATAAACATGTTTAGCATTTGCTCCAACTAACCTCCGGGTGGGATAAGTCGGGATAAGTTTTTTTTTGAGGTCCCATGAGAGCCTCAAGAAAATCTTTTTTATACTGAATGCAAGTTGAAAGTATAATCTAATTTCATACTCTTTAAGACAAAACTTTATTATCAACTACAATTAAAACTTGTCGTTAGGGTTTCTGAGCTTAAAAAGACAGATTCAACTAGCTATGCTTCTATAACGAAATAATTAAGATTTTAGTTGCTTTTACCACCACCCTGCATAAATTCTACTGCAAAACTTTAGTCGGCCTATATGAGTATTTTAAGTTGCTCACTGTTGTTTTGCTCATCCGTTTTTAGTATACCATTTTTTGGCAGCCGATAAAAGTGGCTAGCCGATGACTTGCCATTATATCAAATAATGGCAAGTCATATAATGACTTGCCATTATATGATATAATGGCAAGTCATGATATAATATATGATATAATGCCATTATATGATATAATGCCATTATACCATATAATGACTTGACATTATATCATATGTTAAAAACGCATCAGCTGGTCACTTTAAAAGGACACCACACAAAATGCCTAAATTGGTCCACTGTAAATCCGCAACAACAATATTTG